ATTTAGCTACCTACCATCCATCCATCCATCTATCTATCTATCTATCTACATAAAACTTCTTAGGTCAGGTAGGTTAGGTTAGGTTAGGTGGGATACCTAAACAAGAAAGCATCTATTTCTTCTCAAAGAAAGAAAGCAATTAAATCCCCTTGGAAGAAAAAGTATCTCTCCCTCAAATAGAAAGCAATTATCTCACACCCGAAAAGAAAACAAGTGTCTTCTCCCTTTAAAGAGAAAGCATTAATCTTGTCTAAAAGAAAGCATTTATCTCGCCCTCTTCAGTGAAAGCCTTCCTCTCTCCACCAAAAAAAGAAAGCACATATCACCTAAAAAAGAAAGTATGTATCTTCTCCTTAAAAATAAAGCATTTACCTCCCTTAAAAAAGGAAGCATTTATCTCACTTAAAAAGAAAGTTAAAACGAAAGTATTTACCTCTAAAAAGTTTTTTCTCCCCTTAAGACAAAACCTCAGCAATGCGTCAGAACACCGCCGTATCCCCTTAACAGAAACAAACTACTCATCCGGAAGCGCGCATCGACCCACGACTTGGGTTTCCAACAATAACCAAATCTAATACAGTAACAGGCCAGAGGTAAATAGGCGGGCAATTACAATCGAATACCCGTGACCCATAATACTATTTCCACTCAGGTTTACCGCGGCCGGGATAGCCCACCGTACTGGATTGGTGTATTAACTTGATTTCCTCCACACACGGGTTGGGACGAGTCGATCTTGTTTCAACTGGACGGAGGAATGTTCGTTTGTCTCTGTAAGCGATCCCTCGACTAGTTAGTAAACAGACGCGTTTGATAATTTTTTGGGTTTCGTCTCTTTTATACCTATTTGTATCTTTTTTTTTCTTCTTTAACACACACCTGTCCCGGTCATCTAACACACCTGCCCCGGACATCTAATACACCTGCACCGGTCATCTAACACACCTGCACCGGTCATCTAACACACCTGCACCGGTCATCTAACACACCTGCACCGGTCATCTAACACACCTGCACCGGTCATCTAACACACCTGCACCGGTCATCTAACACACCTGCACCGGTCATCTAACACCTGCACCGGTCATCTAACACACCTGCACCGGTCATCTAACACACCTGCCCCGGTCATCTAATACACCTGCCCCGGTCATCTAACACACCTGCACCGGTCATCTAACACACCCAGAATATGAGAACACTTAGGATCAGTTTGAAGAAGTCTTCATTTTGAAAAACTCCCAAATTACCCAGAATGAGATGAAATTCAGTTCAAAATCTACTGGAAGCTGTTCGAAATATATCATAATCGGGCGAGAAGTATTAAAAATATCCCTCGAATAGAGAGAGCTAAAAGACTCTCCAAAAGGCGCTGCAACCGTTCGAAATGTGGCAGATGTTATTCTAAAGATTAAAGCGTGAAGCAAGCAGCAGCAGCAGCACTTGATCACACTCTGATTGGTCTACTGATAAGGTCGAGTAATCTGGGCTGACTGCTGACGTCTCATCTCAAATTCATTTTCTGTGTGTCAGCTTTTCAGTTTCAACGATCACCCATTTCCTCATACCTCCCACTGACATGGGTTTTTCCAGGGAATATATATATATATATATATATATATATATATATATATATATATATATATATATATATATATATATATATATATATATATATATATATATATATATATATATATATATATATATATATATATATATATATATATATATATATATATATATATATATATTTATATATATATATATATCTCTCGAATATTCAAACTGTTTATATAGACGATAGTGTGGTTGATCATACCTCAAATTATAGGTGAATAAAAATGCTGACTTGACCTAAACTAACCTGCCCTAACGTAATGTAACTTAACCTGACCTAATCTAGCCTGACCTGACCTAACATAACCTAAACTAATCTCATTTAATCTAACCTAAACTAGCCTAGCCTGACCTAACCTACTTTCACTATCGTTACGTTCTCTAAGAGCTTCTAGTTGTTTAACGCTGCTCGTTCAGGAAGACTCGCTCGTTAACTGAGACATTTGGTGAGAAAACTCCAGCAAACGAGTGATTTCGTAAGTCTAATGTGCTATTATCTTCTTACAGAATTTCCTTTCTTTATCTCTTTCACCCTTTCTCAATCGCTTTTTATCTCTTTCACTCATTCTCACTCGTTATTTTTCTTTCACTTTCTTTTGTTATATCTATCTTTCACACGACCTTCCTCTCGCTCTCCCTCTCCATTGTTCTCGTGTCCTCTTCATTATAATTATTTCCTTCCATTTTTTCCAGGGTCTCTCTCTCTCTCTCTCTCTCTCTCTCACACCATTTTATTACCCTATCCATCTCAACACTCAGCAGCTAGCAGGTCTATGATACATAATATTAAACAAACCTTTCATCTCATTCATGTGTTAAGTATGCTTATGTATCCATATGTATGTATCTATGCATATCTTATTTGTTTATCTTGTTGTAGCTGTGAGAACGGGGAGTTGAGGGGAGGCTGGCGGTGTGAGTGTGACCCGTGTTGGGAGGGTGACACCTGCCTCACCTACGGTAAGTCACACACCTGTATTACGGTAAGACACACCTATATTACGGTAAGACACACACCTGTATTACGGTAAATCACACACCTGTATTACGGTAAGACATACCTGTATTACGGTAAGACACACACCTGTATTACGGTAAGACACACCTGTATTACGGTAAGACACACACCTGTATCATCCCTAACACTCAGTACTAAGCCTAAATATCTTATAATCTATGAGTATTATCTTACAAAAGGTAAATAAGGTAAACACTATAATATATCTTAACTTATAGAGAAATATTTCAAACAACCAACTATATTCTCCATAGTTCACCCCTGAAGAAAACGGGATTATAGGAGTGAAGGGGTAACTCTTATAAAGTAACGCCTGGGTCTGTGTCCTGGTTACCGATCCATATTGAACCCGGTTTTGGCCTTAATAACACGATGGTAATAGTGGTGGTGGGGAGGCCAGTACCATCTGTTTTCAAGAACCATCTGTCATTCAATGAGCGTGCCAGAACCAGCTGTTACGTCACAATGCATCATAGTGCCCCCACCACCAACTCCCATGACACTGCCTCCTTCACTCCCTCTTTCCTCCTTCTCTCACTCCCTCTTCCTTCCTCCCCCTCCGTATCTAACTTCTTCCTCTCCCTCTCTGTCTCTCACTCCTCCCTCTCTCTCCACTCCCCCCCCCACTTACCAGAGCGGTGCACGGTAATATAACACCTGGATAACGTCACAGTATTTACGGTCACATAATATATCAGGTGTCGGAAATAGTGTGTGTGTGTGTGTGTGTGTGTGTGACCCACCTCACACTGCCCCAACAGGAGTATCTTGTCGCCCAAAATGAAAACGCCGAGGTTAGGTAAGGTTGTTAGGTTAAGGTTAAGTTAGGTTAGTTTGAGACAGGTCAATTAAGGTCAGGTTGTTATACTCCAAATTGAATGTCTGTTTTTTTTTTCATTTCATTTTTCCTCTTCTACAAAATTTCTGGATAAAGTCAAACAATTTCACGGGACGTCAACCAATTCCCTCGTTCGTTATCAGCGATGTAAAGCTAAAAGTGACAAACAAACAAAAACACGTACAGGTCAAAATACCGAAGAACAAACAAACGTAAAACAAATATACAAAATCAAACAAAAACAAACAGAATGTATACAAAACAAAACTGTTTATAAATTCAGCAACATAACGAATGAAGGAAAGCTTATAAACGTGACAGGAAATTAAACCTATAAGAGAAAGGAAGGAAGGGGAAGTGGAAGGGGTGAAGGGAGGGAAAAGGTGAAAGGTAGTTTGAGGGAAGGGAAGGGAAGAAGGCATGGGAGGCGAACGAAGAGAGGGAGGAAGAGGAAAGCAACCCAACCTAACCCAACCCGGTACTAAAACCAACACAAACTTTATATTTCCCGCCAACGAAAGAAACGTATAAGCGTATTGGCCAAACTATTTCCTCTCTGAGTTTAATTAACAACAGAGGAGAATAACGTCCAATAAACACACACACACACACACACACAGATATATACATCCTATATTGAGTGCATGGGTTCGTAAATATGCCTCCGTTCACTTAGAGAGAGAGAGAGGGGGGACGAAAAAGGGTGTGTGTCTGTGTGTGAGAGAGAGAGAGAGAGAGAGAGAGAGATAACCCACCACAGTACCAGTCAGGGTCCATAACTAAGCGGTGCAGTGTGTAGTGTGGCGGGTGTGTTCCTTAGCGGTCATTAGTGCTCACCACCTGGGGAGCCCACAGGAGCCCACCACTAGGAACCTATCATAACCGCTAGGACCCCATTACTAGGACCCCACCGCCGCCACTAGGAGCCCCCCCCCACACACACAACTTCCAACATCCGCAAATTAATTTTCCATTTTTTACTACAATATGAAAGGCAAGTTCTACATCATTATAGAACCCAGCGTTGTCGGCGTCCGTGTGTGTGTGTGTGACTGGTCGAGTGTAAACAAACCCAATGCTGATTGGTCGAGCATAAACAAAACTAACGTTGATTGGTCGACAGCGCATGTAAACTGATGGTGATTGGCTGAGCGAAAAACAAGAGGAGCCTCAGCATGTAAACACAGCCTGTTGCTTTACACAACTTTAAGGAGAACTAACAGCACATGACCTAATTAAACTTTGTATCTTGTTTTAACAGTTAACGAGGAGAGGCGACACTAGGCACCAGCAACACACAGTCATGGCATATAATATAACTTCTATTTAACGGACTAGATAGAGAGGAAAGTCCGTCATATCGAGAGTCCGTTAAGTTCCTCATGCCTACAACAACAACACTACTTCTACTACATTAACACCACCACAGCAACGTCACTACACCACCACCACCATCATCACTACCACCAGAACTCCACTACACCATCACCATCACAGCAACATTACTACACCACCACAACATTACCACATCACCACCAAACCATCACTACATCACCACCACACCACCACTACATCACCACCACACCACAACCATCACCACAACTCCACTGCACCATCACTGCAACATCCCTGCACTACCACACCACCACTACACCACCACTACACCATCACCACCACAGCAACATCACCACCACACAATACTCACGCCCCCACACGTAAAACACTAACGCGTCTGGCTGCCTGAATCAGAGTTGAGAAATAGCAGAGTGGGAGGAAGTACACCATCTGGCTGTTGGCTGTGTATCCAGCAGGGAGGGAGGGAGGGAGGGTAGCTGGCTGTGTATGCTGGAGAGAGAGAGAGAGAGAGAGAGAGAGAGAGAGAGAGATAGGCTGTGTGTATGCTGGAGGGAAGGAGAGAGAGAGGGGGGGGTAGCTGCGATAGATGGGTTTTATCAACACCACTGTAATGGAGTTCCCTTGGTGGTGGTGGCGTGGGTCTCTGTCTCTCGCTTCCTCTTACACGTTGAGCTAAGCCTGGTGTAGTTGAGCTCAGTCCAGGTAAAATTAAGCTCACTCCTGGTATCACTAAACAAAGGTACAAAATATTTCTACAGGAATAAGTTTCAATAACAATACGACTCCTCTCAACCTCAGTAACGAGGGTCTCCAGCCAGCCAATCACCACTCGACCATGAACGTATTAATCCATTGTTACTGGCCACTACGCTGCTCCTCCTCGACGACCGACTGATCCTCTCACTCAAGGGCGTGGCCAATATTACAACCCCAGGCACGAATTCATACTATATATATAAGAAAAATAAATAATAAAAATAACAAAATAAATAAAAGGTTTCGTAAAATGGATAATCCTTAATTTAATGGCGTCGAATTTAACCTGAGACTCTACCTAAACTAGATTCATTAACAGCAATCAAATATGGCGTCGAATTTAACCTGAGACTCTACCTTAACTCGATATATTCACTTAACACAAGACATGTAGTTCTGACTCCATTTTAGCCAAGAACTTCTCAAATTCCAATAACTTCTGATCAAGAAACTAAACCCAACTCCCCCAAGAAAAGTCTCAAAGTCTCACAAAATCTGACAAAATCTGATTAGAAAATTCCCCCAAAGTCTCAATATAAAAATCTGGTGAGACCCCCCTAAACAACTCTTTCCAAAATCTGGCCTTTCAAAAATCTCACCTCCCCAAAAAAAAAATCTGGCCAGAATTACCCAAATCCGGTCACGCTAAATCGTCGGGGCAGAGACTGGTGCCCCGCAAAAAAAATATTAAGACGGACCCAGAGGCGAGATATGCCGTGAGCTCTCTTGTAAGACTCCCACACTGGACCCCGGACCCCGGACCCCGGACCCCTAGACCCTGGACCCCGGACCCTGGACCCCAAGACCCTGGACCCTGATGACTCCAAGTTCATCTTTAAAACCTGTTCTTTCTCCCGTGGCCACTCACAGCTAATGAGGATCTGATTGTGGTGCCTGGATGCTGTGTTGGCCAGATGCTGTGTTGGCCAGATGCTGTGTTGGCCAGATGCTGTGTTGGTCAGATTGCTGTGTTATATGCTTGGTTCGTGGGCCAGATGCTGTGTTTATTTATATATCTGTGTTATGGCTGATATTGGCTTAATCTTATTTTAGGGTACAGAGACATTTGTTATCGAGAGAGAGAGAGAGAGAGAGAGAGAGAGAGAGAGAGAGAGAGAATGTTGAAGGTTGAGAAATAAAAAGAAGCAGCAATTGGAGTAAGAACGTAATGAAAAAATATTTACCTATTCTATCTATATATTTATGTATCTATTCATCAATCTACCTATCTAACCATCTATCTTTCTCTACCTACCTACCCATCTACGTCCCTATCAATCTACCCATCTACAGTCTATCTATCTTTCTATATATCTATCTACCTACATTACCTACGGACCTATCTATCTATCTCAGGGGTAAAAGTTTAGTGTGGGAAGCGAGGAACAATTCTGGCGGAGTGTTTACCTTGTCGCCAGAGCGGTCAGGCCTTGATGTTTGGTCTGTGTGTTCGGCGTGTAATATTTTTACTGCTACAAATTCTCAAGTTTCTCTACCTAACCTAACCTAACTTAACTCAACCTAACCTAACTTAACTCAACCTAACCTAACCTAACTCAACCTATCCTAAACTAAAGTTACTCTGGTTATAGATGTTATTTTTGTTTGTTTATTATTTTTATCTATACATACACACATTCACAATATACATACATATATCTACACATACGAACACAATATATATATTAACATGTACACACACACACATACACACACATATAACACACACACACACACACACACACACACACACACACACACACACACACACACACACACACACACACACACACAACACAACACACACAACACACACACACACACATACAACACACACACACACAAGACAACACACACACACATACACACACACACACACACACACACATACAACACACACACATACAACACACACACACACAAGACAACACACACACACATACAACACAACACAAATTTCCCCCTAAAAAAGTACCTCGCCAATTTTGAACACCCTAACCTGGCCCCATAACTCGATACCCTTGACACCAACACCATGAATATGAATTAGTTACAGACGCTGTGCCAATGTACGCCATCACTGTCGCCCTCTTGAGATTGTTCCCATAGTTACAGAACTCAATTGAACTGTGTTGTTAACTGCCTAAAGTAACAAAACTAGTCATTAATATCAAAATTAAAGTTAGGTTAGGTTAAATTTGGCTAAGTAAGGCTTGCTTAACGTTACCTTTACATTAGATTAGGAATAAATCCACGTGGCTTAAATATACGTATACACCGTCACAACAACACCCCCTCTCCCCCCGCCACGATATGACTCTCAATGGCTCTTACTGTTACTTAACAGCCTCATTCAAAGACTACCCCCCCTCCCTCCACCCGGCCGTGTGTTCTATATTCATGAAGTTTTTACTAAGACATAATTTTCGGCAGCGAAAAGTTATTATACCCGGTGGCTTGAGAGTTCTATTTGCCCTGTGTACACCCACGCTACTAACTCGTGTGTGTGTGTTATGAGAGTGATATATTGGTTTCTCTGTGTCTATGTGTCTGTCTGTATGTCTTTCAGTGTGTCTGTTTCTGTCTGTCTGTCTCTCTTTATAACATAACTTAATAATTTTTGGTTTGTATATAAAAGTAGATATACTTTCTCTACTTCCGGTTATATTATCATACTTTTTCTTTCTCTATTTCAGTGGATTATTACACGCCACGCTTCCTCGTCCACGCCGCTACAGCTGTCCTTCCAGTCAACGCCACGGGTTAGTCTTATAGTCAACGCCAAGAAGACCAGACACTTTCACTGTACAAACAACAATACTGTGTGTGTGTGTGTGTGTGTGTGTGTGTGTGTGTGTGTGTGTGTGTGTGAATTCCTCAAGAAGACTGACCCTTCATTAAGCAGCTGCAGAGTCTAGTGAACGCGAACACCTTGTTGATAATTAAAAAGAGCTCCTGGCAGCGCGCTCTTTACCACTCCTTATAATTGACTTTTAATCCCACAAGATACCCAAAAAAATACTGCCGGGAGAACTGTAATCAAAGGTGTGTGTGTGTGTGTGTGTGTGTGTGTGTGTGTGTGTGTGTGTGTGTGTGTGTGTGTGGTCATTGATACTATGCTCCTGCTGGTTGACTTTCGACGACGCCTTCTTCAGGAGGGTGGGGTGAGTCTTAGCACTTATCATGGATCTTTACAAATGTCTGCCTTTAATTTCTTCTCTAATCTCTCTAGACTCTGTATCCTCTCTACCTTCTCTCTTCCCTCCATCCCTTTTTCCTCTACTTTCTCTCTTTACCTTCCCTACTTCTCTTTTTCTTCTATTATCTCTTCCTCCATCTCTTTTCTCTCTTCCTCCATCTCTTTTCTCTCTCTCTCTCTTCCTCCTACTTTCTGTCACCCTCTCCCCCACAAACTTTGGTCATGTCCACAAGTTACCTCAGCGTCGACCCTGTGAGAGGACAACAAGCCTCTACACGTTGATAAACACCACACGACACATCATCCAAGTCTTGTAAAGTTTGGCCTCAGGGAAAACCCATCACTTTATTTCTTACATGTCAGGAAAATCGGTCACCAAGAGGAAAATCTGTCACCAAGAGGAAAATCTGTCACCAAGGGGAAAATCTGTCACCATCAGGGAAATATTTCACCATTAGGGAAATATTTCACCATTATGGAAATATTTCACCATTAGGGAAATATTTCACCATCAGGGAAATATTTCACCATTAGGGAAATCTGTCCTGTTAGGGGGAGAGTAAAATATTTCACTGATTTATCGAGTTAATTATTACCATTCCTGTAATGCTGTCCTACCCCCCCCCCAACACACACACACACCACCCCACCCCTCCACACACACACACACACCACCCCACCCCTCCACACACACCACCCTCCACACACACTCACCACTCCTCCACACACACCACCCCACCCCACACACACACCAATCCACTCCCCACACACACACACCCACCCCACCCTCACACACACACAACCACCCCACCCTCCCACACACCACCCCTACCCCCACACACACACCATCTCCCCTCCACACACACACACACACCACCCTCCCCCTCCACACACACCACCCCACCCCCCTCCACACACCACCCTCCACACACACACCACCCCACCCCCCACACACACACCACCCTCTCCACACACACACACCACCCCTTCCCCACACACCACCCTCCCCTCCACACACACCACCCTCCCCTCCACACACACCACCCCCTCCCCTCCACACACACACACAAAGTTTTTCCCAACCACAAGACTGTCTAAGACGGTCAAGTCCATTAATCAAGTGGGTGTTTGAGAGCTTTCACTCACAGGAGAAAGTTGCCAAAACACAAAAGTGAGAAGCGGGAGGAAAGTGCACCAGCTCTCACCGCTTATGTTCACTGATAGGAAAGTGCGTCTCATTTTTAATCAAAAGTTTCCCATTTTTTTAACTCGTACTGGTTAGGTTATTATAGTCCCCAGGTACAGTAATTCCTCATTTAGGTATAAAGTACAGGTACAGTAATTAGACACCTGTAATTACGTAACCCCATACAGGTACAGTAACTCCTTCCATAACACCTACTACACCCCCCTCACCCCCACAGGTGTGGTATACCGGGCGTGGAGTACTGACGAAGACCTGGGGCTGACGTGTCCTCTGGGGCCTGGCGACTCTGCCCGCTGCCCCTGTGCCGCCGTCAACTACCGCCTCTTCGCTGCCCCTGGGGATAACCACTTCTCCCTCGACCCCGTCACGGGCATCTTGTCTCGGAACACCCAGGTGCCACTAAACGTTGGTGCCACCTATATATACAAGCTTATGGTGCAAGGTTAGTCCCCCCCCCCCCTCTGTCTTTCTCTCAACACTGAGTTAAAAATGCCACAACACGCTACCTAACCTAACCCAACCCAAACAAATCCAACTAAACCTAACCTAAACAAACCTAACTTAACCGAACCTCCACCATCCTCAGGCATGTCTATGGACGGGCAGGAGGAGGAAGATCTGCCCTACGACCTCCTGACGCTGAAGGTGTACGTCAGCGCCGACTACGTGAGGAAGATACCCTGGACATAACAACCTGTCAGCTACCATGACTCTCCGGAGGTCAGTCAGTGTGTTTTGTGTGTGTGTATGTCGTAAGATAAGGTAAGATAAGGTAAGGTTCATAAAGCACCTATGATACCCTTTACGAACTTCTGCTACCTGGGATAAAATGATTTAGCCATGTTGGTTACGTGTGTCTGTCTGTCCGTCCATTAGCGCCACAACTCTCGACCATTTTACCCTGTTGACTTAGTTTACTCCGAAGCTCTTTGATTACCTTCCTCTCTCTCTCTCTCTCTCTTTGTGGTGTGTGTGTGTGTGTGTGTGTGTGTGTGTGTGTTTGGACCCAAGAGAGGTCAGAGGTCAAGAGGATTAAGGTCAGAGGAATCAATGCTCCGGCCAAGAGCCTCAATGGGTACTCGGTCAGGCTTAACTGTTATCACCTCCACAATTACATATTATATTGAGGCAATTAACTGAAGGATCCGAGCAGGTGGTTAGCAGTGTACTGGTCGAGCGTCCTGACCTCTGTGTTGACTGCTCGTTGGTATTGGTTATATTTTACTAATGTTCATTATTATTATTATTATCCTCCAACAGGTACAGAGCCAGGACTCCAAGATCAGGCACCAGCTGTCATAACCACCTGGCCACACCCACAACGCCAGCTGGGATATCATAGCTACTTGCTTATGCCAAGGAGGCCGACCGCCACCACCTGTTTTATCCAGCTGTGAGAGCCAGGCTGTATATATCGGGCACTGCAGCTGTAAATGAGCAATGCCAGATGGTGCAGCAACGGTAAGACCTCCGTGCCAGGTGGTGCTGCAGGTGAAGGTCATCAGTGGCAGCCAGGTGGTGCTACAGGTGGCTTGGCTTGGCTTGGACGTCAACACGGTCTCTTCCTCCTAGAGTGAACTCACCATATCAAGAGGCCAGACAGAGTCATCGAGGCCACTAACTCACAGACATTTCCTTTGTATTAAAATAATATATAAACACCAACTCACAGCTTCCCAAGAGGCGGGGTTGGTCGTCGCCATTAACTACTTGTGACTTCCAAACAAAAAATAAATAAATAAATAAATCAGACAGAAAATATTTTCCTACACAGAACTAATTATCACTCCCAGGACCCACCAAGATATTACAGGTGCGTGAGTGACGGTAGTTGTGAACACTCATGAGGGACCTGGAGTTAAGTGTCAACCTGTAGTGTTTACTGTTAGTTATTTGGTGTTCGTGAGGGACGGACGTTAAGGTGTTCCTTCAAGGTGGTAAATGAGGGAGGGACATCAATCCAACCCAGCCTAATCTAACCCAACCCAACCTAACTTAATCCAACCCAACTTAACTTAATCCAACCCAACATGACCTAACCTAACTATTCCCATATCCATAACCTGACTTAACTATTCTCATATCCAAGTACGTAAAGCCCCCCCCCACAACCAACCCTCATCGTATCTTGTAACGAGAGAACGCATTTGGTTACACTAGGAGTCTCAGAACAACATCAGCGTCATTCTAACCACCAAAACTTTTCCTTTTATCTTCATTTTGTCGCAGTTTTAAGGCAGCCATTTAGATGCGTTCTCTCTTTACTACAAGACGGGAATTAAATTTATCAGATCACGTGAAGATTAAGTCCTCCAGCTTAGCTTTATCTTAATTAAGAGAAATCAGCTTAATCTTTACCTAACTTAATGCTAACCTAACCTAATACTAACATAAAGCTAACCTAAGGTAACACATATCAAACCTAACTATTACCTAACCAAACCAAAACTAACCTACCCTAACACTGAATTAACTTACACAAAACACATACTAAAACAACTACTAACCTAACCAAACCAGACATTAACCAGACATTAACCTAACACTAACCAAACAAAAACAAACAATAACCTAACCTAACCCCCCAAGGTATCAATTGGGTAATTAATATTAAGGTATAAACAAGCTGGGATGTCTAATCTTCACGTCCTCACATTATCTCGTAGGTGGTGAGACATCATCAGGGTTGGTGACTGTTACTGTGTTGTGTATATGAGACATCTTTGACGTGTGTTATGTCATGAATAAAGAGAATTGTGTATCTTTGTTTTACTCATTACCTCACTTATTACTTCCCTCATTACCTCACTTAATACTTCCCTCACTTATTACCTCACTTATTACTTCCCTCATTACCTCACTTATTACCTCACTGATTACTTCCCTCATTACCTCACTTATTACTTCCCTCATTACCTCACTGATTACTTCCCTCATTACCTCACCCACCTCTCCCTCATTAACAAAACTCACATTGACTCATCATCAACTCCCTCCCTCAATAACTTCAACAAAGTGTATAACGAACGCCGAGATTAACACACACACACACACAGCTTAATACAGTACCCTCCCTGCACCCCAACCTCTTGTCTTCTGAGAATAACAACAGAAGATGACAGGTTAACTCCACACACACACACACAGAATACAGTAATTCATAACAAGAGGACATGAACGAGCAGCCGGAACACACACACCAGGTCCTCAGCACCAGTAGAGTGCGGCGTCTTTGTCAGCTGCTGAATGTAAACAAGAGGAGGTAAAGGAGACTCCAGCAGCGACTACTTGTGTGTGTGTGTGTGTGTTTAGCTTTGGCTCATACAGCATATAGCGTGTTGTTGTTGTTATGGTTTACTCTCTCTCTCTCTCTCTCTCTCTCTCTCTCTCTCTCTCTCTCTCTCTCTCTCTCTCTCTCTCACACACTACACTCCCTCACAACGGGGAACAACAAGGCAACAGGACACAAACTTATCGCTCCGGACAAAACTCGACAAAGAAACAAGAAGTTGGTATCGGAAACTGTGTGAGATCCTGAGAGTGCTGTGCCGCTGTCCCTCTCCCTGTACCCCCATCCCACCTCAACCCCCAACCACCCCTATCCCACCCCTACACACTACCCCCCCACAGTACACCCCACCCCCACCTAAACATAACTGTACACGAGGCGAGGAGAACACAACACCCACCAAACTTAATATATCAAAATATCTTCCCCTATAAAATAAGTGACTTACAAAAGGTGGGAATTAATTATCTGGAGTGAAAATCCTAAACTTGGCTCATTAATAAGATTATATTTTTGGGGTTGGTAAGACGCCGCCAGTAATCAGTCACTGTCCTTAGCAAATACCATCTACTTCCCTTCACCGCCCTTTCTTACTCCTCTCTTACTCTTCTTTTACTTCCCTTCACCGCCCTTTCTTACTCTTCTTTTACTTCCCTTCACCGCCCTTTCTTACTCCTTCTCTCTTACTCTTCTTTTACTTCCCTTCACCGCCCTTTCTTACTCCTTCTCTCTTACTCTTCTTTTACTTCCCTTCACCGCCCTTTCTTACTCCTTCTCTCTTACTCTTCTTTACTCTTAGCTGCTTTATTGGAGAGTATTTCAGAAGACATCGGACCCATCCTGGCAGATACATTTTTGAGATATTGTTCATAGAATTTGACGAATTGTACGTCGCCTGGCCATGGCCGGAGGGAAGGACGGACATAACCCTAACTGTACAGTACACTATAGACATCACCACTCACTGTACAGTACACTATAGACATCACCCTCACTGTACACACTATAGACATCACCCTCACTACACACACCTCCCCCTCACCCTAAACTTTCTTCCTCCACTTGGTGATAAATACTGGAGAGAGACGGAGAGAAATACCTCACTATCCTTCGACTAACTATACAACAACAAACTTGGCCACTGGTTACAGGAACACCAAAGTCAGCAGGTAACTTTTATTCCCCTGGGTTAAGGTAGGTCTCAGGTGCCCAGGTAAGGTCTCAGGTGCCCAGGTAAGGTCTCAGGTGCCCAGGTAAGGTCTCAGGTGCCCAGGTAAGGTCTCATGTGCCCAGGTAAGGTTTCAGGTGCCCAGGTAAGGTCTCAGGTGGCTAGGTTAAGTCTCAGGTGCCTAGGCAAAGGACAAAGTTTACTTGGGTGGAGGAGGCTGCCAATACCATTCAATATCATGTTTACTAAGGCATGAAAATATTCTCTCTCTCTCTCTCTCTCTCTCTCTCTCTCTATCCTCTCCACCTCCCCTCTCTACATCTCTATTTCTATATATGTCAAAGTTATCAGAGCCTTTCAGCGTGTGGAATAAATGAACTTGACAAATTCATCCGTTTGACGGGGGGACGTCAAGCGACCCTTTTATAAACTCGTCAGCGGCTGAAGTATGAAAAGAATAAATGGAACACGTCACAGTATGGAGGACCTGGACCCGTGTGTCGTAGTTACCCATCACCCTGGACCCGTGTGTCGTAGTTACCCATCACCCTGGACCCGTGTGTCGTAGTTACCCATCACCCTGGACCCGTGTGTCGTAGTTACCCATCACCCTGGACCCGTGTGTCGTAGTTACCCATCACCCTGGACCCGTGTGTCGGAGTTAGCCCTCACCCTGTCATCAAATGGTTAACTCACCATCGTTATCAAAGGGTTAATAAATCATCATCACCAAAGGGTTATCATAATCGCCGTCAAAGGGATAAACAATCATCGTCATCAAAGGGGTAAATCACCATCGTCATCAATGGGTTAAAACAGTAAACAACGAGGTGTTCCACCACCAGCCGGCAGTGACTATCCCAGGCTGGTGGTGTGTGTCGACGGCTGTGGCGGGAGTAACACGCACGAAGTCTCCACCACCACTCACTCTCTCTCTCTCTCACAAACACACACATTTAAACCTCTCTCTCTCTCTCACACACACACACACATTAAAACACCTCTCTCTCTCTTTCTCTCTCACACACACACGCACACACTAAAACACCTCTCTCTCACCCACTAAAACATGTATCCAACTCTCTCAACAGACCACAGAAAACCTGGTCTGTGGATGAATCTCTCTGTGGCGGTGGGGATATACATATATAACTAGATATATAACGGGATATATAAACGAATATATAAATACTAAATGACTGAACCCAGGACGATCAAGACCCCAAATTTATATTTTTATGTGTGTGTAAAGTTTTATATTTTTTTCCAGTATCAACAGCAACCTAATGAGTTTTTTATGGCTGGACAGTAAGTAGTAGTAGTAGTAGTAGTAGTAATAATAATAATAATAATAATAATAATAATAATAGTAATAATAATAATAATAATAATAATAATAATAATAACAACAACAATTTACTCTAAACTCATACCATAAAAAATAATAATTACAAACACACAAACCAAAATAACAAAACAAAATTAAATAAATAAACCTAACCAATAAAAAAACAAAAAACACTTGTGATTCCCGAATAAAAAATAAATAAAAAATAAAAGTTCTCAAATTCGCAGAACAACCGCCCATTTTTCCTCTTGGCCCAAATATCACAATACGAGGAAGAAACTATTTATTTTATATATAAAATTTTTCATTTTCTTTCTTTTTATTGTATTTATTTCAAGGTGGAGTTTGTGTTAATGACCCAACCCCTCTTGTGTCTCTCTTAATGATACACACCTGAATTAATTATACCAACAGAATAATTTATGTAATTAGTACCTGTATATAATTACCACTATACGCCATAATTTTAAGGTATTGTTTCTGTAATTAATTCCTCAACACATGGCGGTCTACACATATACATGATATATATATATATATATATATATATATATATATATATATATATATATATATATATATATATATATATATATATATATATATATATATATATATATATATATATATATATATATATATATATATATATATATATATATATATATATATATATATATATATATATATATATATATATATATATATATATATATATATATATATATATATATATATATATATATATGCATGTATGTTTGATTGGGTGTAAACGTCAGGTGAACTATGGCAGACTTGGCAGTCACACATGTGTATAAATACTGGTACTATTTAACTCTCCACCAATGACCTAGCTTACTCCACCTAACATAACTTACTCGACGATAAAGCAGCACTGTACTCACCTTGGTTCCTGACGAGCAGCTCATCATCCAGGACCAGAATGATGCCGGGGAGGAGCGGGGGGGGGGGTGTCCAAGGGCTCATTCCTCCTGAAAATAAGAGGATATTAGAATCGTAAAGCCACATTTAGCAAGTTACGTGGTGATGGAATGCCTGGAATAGACTCAAGTAATGTGTAGAATGGAAGGGAGCTTTTTTTACATACATACACATACACACACACAGACAGACACACACACACACTGTCACTATGTTGAAATGCCCTGTAGTTAGAGCTTTTCCCCATCTAGTTATTATATATCTTATTTGTATCACTTATGTTACTTGTATATTATTTGTAATTCGAAACCCATTCCCCAAATATGTAACTGTATATTTTCAGCCTTCTGGCTGCCGAGCTCTTTCAATAAACCGTTAATTATTATTATTATTATTATTATTATTACACACACACACACAGACACTCTCTCACTCTCTCTGCTAAACAAGATAACTAATCCACAGAAAATAATTACACTAAATATTTCAACAACTTACTAATGACACCATAATTAACTATTATTCCAACATTAATAATCTCAACATTTAAAAGTCCATCCACCAGTACAGTATTTTAATCCATTTAATACTTAACAATCGTCATGTCAATTACCATTACTGACCAAAAAAGGTAAAATTCGCCTCATTTTTCGTATGGTAAAGTTCAACACCCAGTTCAAATATAATTAATAACAACAACAACGATAATAATAATATCAATAATAACTTGACCTTCCCTAACTTAACCAAATTTGACCTGACTAACCTAACCAAACCCTGCCTGACATAACCTACCCAAAACTTATCTGACCTGACCAACCCTAACATAACCTAACCTGAATTGACCTACCCTAACCTGACCTAACTTAACCTAAACAAACACACTACATGACCTTGACCTCACGCCTGGGAGAGGGAGGTGTTTGACAGTCTCACGCCCTCCCGCTGTCCAGAATCCGATTATCTCTCTCTCTCACTTCCTCTCACCTCCCTCTCCCCGTCTTCCTCACACTC